CCTGAAAAATAGGATCATGGCCAAGCTTGAAACCTGTATCTCCCGTAGCCGGTTACCAAGATTACGTGAAGTACCCTCAGAAGGTCTGCTAGATGATGTTAATGCAGCACTACGGGCAATACCTACAACCACGATTACCGACACTAACAAGCTGATCTACAATACGGCAGCAGTGATCAGTGAGATGCTTGGCTACAAGTTGAACAGCCACAAGGGGCAGTACCCTCCATGGAGAAGGAGGCTAGAGGGCAAGATCAAAGTAGCACGGAGGGAGGTTAGCCAACTAACGGAGTTGCAGAAAGGTGCGACAAATAAGGTGCCTAAGAAATACAGCAAGCTGTCCATACCTGAGGCCTTGGAAACTGCCAAGCAAAGACTCATAGCCTTGGCCAGCCGCTTGAGGAGGTACACCAGAGAGATAGAAGGCAGGAGAATAAACCAGCTGTTCTCCACAGAACCAGCAAAGGTGTACTCTCAGTGGCAAGGGAACAATAAGAGAACAGCACCACCAAGGCTGGAGACGGAGCAATACTGGAAGAGCATATGGGAGAAGGATGCAACCCATAACGGCAATGCTCAGTGGCTAGAGGATCTGAGGGCAGACCACAGCGACCTCCCTGAACAGGGTCCAGTAACCATCACAGTGGCAGATATCCAAGAAAGGGTCTCCAGTATGAAGAGTTGGACAGCACCAGGGCCCGACATGGTTCACGCCTACTGGCTGAAGAAGCTAACTGCACTCCACGAGCGTCTGGCAGCACAAATGAACCAGCTGCTAGTTAACGAGAGACACCTGGAATGGCTAACTGAAGGCCGGACGGTCCTGATCCCCAAGGACCCCAAGAAGGGACCGGTCCCCTCCAACTACCGACCAATAACCTGCCTCAGTACTACATGGAAGCTCCTGTCAGGCATCATATCGGCTAAGATGAACAGGCACATGGGTCAATACATGAGCGGGACACAGAAAGGAATTGGCAAGAATACCAGAGGCGCAAAACACCAGCTACTGGTAGACAGAACAATCAGCCGAGACTGCAAGACCAGACTGACCAACCTGTGCACTGCCTGGATTGATTACAAGAAGGCCTATGACTCAATGCCCCACAGCTGGATACTGGAATGCCTAGAATTGTACAAGATCAATGGGACCCTAAGAGCCTTCATCAGGAACTCAATGGGGATGTGGCGTACAACACTAGAGGCCAACTCCAAGCCCATAGCACAAGTCACCATCAAGTGCGGGATCTACCAAGGAGATGCTCTGTCCCCACTGCTGTTCTGCATAGGCCTGAACCCCCTCAGTGAGATCATTAACAAGACTGGCTACGGATACCGACTACGGAACAGAGCAGTTGTCAGCCACCTCCTGTACATGGATGACATCAAGCTGTATGCCAAGAGTGAACGAGACATCGATTCACTGATCCACACTACCAGGCTATACAGCAATGACATTGGAATGTTGTTCGGACTGGAGAAGTGTAGTCGGATGGTATCAAAGAGAGGGAAGGTAGTCAGAACTGAGGGGATTGAACTACCAGAAGGCAACATTGCAGACATAGAGGACAGTTACAAGTACCTGGGGATCCCGCAGGCGAATGGGAACCATGAAGAGGCCGCTAGAAAGGCTGCAACCACCAAGTACCTGCAGAGGGTCAGGCAAGTCCTGAGGAGTCAGCTGAATGGTAAGAACAAGATCCGGGCCATCAACACGTACGCCCTGCCCGTGATCAGGTACCCTGCTGGGGTAATAGGCTGGCCAAAGGAGGAGATAGAAGCCACTGACATAAAGACAAGAAAGCTCCTTACCATGCATGGAGGGTTTCACCCCAAATCCAGCACCCTGAGGCTGTACGATAAGCGGAAGGAGGGTGGCCGGGGACTGGTGAGTGTCAGCACCACAGTCCAGGATGAGACAAGGAACATCCAAGAATACATTGGATGGCCCCAACTGACCGAGTGCTCAGTGAATACCTCAGGCAGCAGAAACCCAAGAAAGAGGAGGGAAACGAGGAACCATCATGGAAGGACAGGCCCCTGCACGGTATGTACCACCGGCAGATAGAGGAGGTGGCTGATATCCAGAAATCCTACCAGTGGCTGGACAAAGCTGGACTGAAAGACAGCACAGAGGCACTAATCATGGCAGCACAAGAACAAGCTCTGAGCACAAGATCCATAGAGGCTGGGGTCTATCACACCAGGCAAGACCCCAGGTGCAGGCTGTGTAAAGATGCCCCAGAGACAATCCAGCACATAACAGCAGGGTGCAAGATGCTAGCAGGCAAGGCATACATGGAACGCCATAACCAAGTGGCCGGCATAGTGTACAGGAACATCTGTGCCGAGTATAACCTGGAAGTCCCGAGGTCAAAATGGGAGATGCCCCAAGGGTGGTGGAGAATGACCGAGCTAAGATCCTGTGGGACTTCCAGATACAGACGGACAAAATGGTGGTGGCTAACCAACCGGACATAGTGGTGGTAGACAAACAGAAGAAGACGGCCGTAGTGATCGATGTAGCGGTTCCGAATGACAGCAATATCAGGAAGAAGGAACACGAGTAGCTGGAGAAATACCAAGGGCTCAGAGAAGAGCTCGAGAGGATGTGGAGGGTGAAGGTAATGGTGGTCCCCGTGGTAATCGGAGCACTAGGTGCGGTGACTCCCAAGCTAGGCGAGTGGCTCCAGGAGATCCCGGGAATAACATCGGAGATCTCTGTCCAGAAGAGCGCAGTCATGGGAACAGCTAAGATACTGCGCAGGACCCTCAAGCTCCCAGGCCTCTGGTAGAGGACCCGAGCTTGAAGGATAAACCGCCCGCAGGGGTGTGCTGGGTGTTTTATATATATATAGTTATTATTATTATTATTATTATTATTATTAATATTATTATTATTTTATTTATTTATTTATTATTATTATTATTATTATTTTCATTTCACATTTCATTGCAATAAAGCGGAAACTGAAATTACAGTTTGGGAATTCTGCTGCATTCACTGTTTCAGAACACTGTATAGAAAGGGTGGGTAGATTGTGTGAAATTATATCTTGACATTTTCCAAAAAATTTGTTTAGCTTCATCAGTTATGAAGCTGCATTTGTAGCTTAATCTACTGCCACCACGTGGCAGCAGGGTGGACCTTGACAGTATAGACAAACCTGCCTTGTCTGCTAGCAGCAGTGTCATGAAACTCGAGCTTGTGCTTCCGAGGAGAATGTCAGTTAACCAACCTGCTCTTACAATATAAATGAAGCTTTACAGCTTTATAAGGAGCTGTATTGAGTTTCTTTAGACTTCATTGTGTGCAGTTTCATTGTGTTTAACCTTAAATGGTTGTCTGACCTACTTGTGTCAGTGTGAACAAAGGAGGCAAAGCTAGCTTTGCTAGGATAGGCAGGGCAAAGCAAAGCTTCTTTTTTGAGGAAAATCAGATTTAATTGTTCAGATTTACCTAAAAACGTAGGTCTATTGATCTGTATACATTTTTGGCTACGTGTCAGGCTAAACAAATCACTCAATTTATTTAAATTGAATAACATAAAAATGAAGCAATCTTGAAAGCAATTTCTTGATTCATGCTTGAAAAGAAATTTCTAGTGGAACACTGCTGTGCTGAGCCAAAGTGAAGCAGTGATTGTTTTTCTATCAAAGGCTATTATGCTAATTCAAACACTTTTTTCTGTGTGAATTTTTTTTCTACATGTTTAGTGCTTCAGCTGCAGAAGTGAGGACAAAGTCAAATTTTAGGAGTCAAACACCCATTAACCTTGCACCTGTTCAGGGACACACATGCATTCATGGATAGCACACCTTGACTTTTGCCTAGATGAATGTTTATCAGTTTCACAATCTTCCTCATTTGAAAAGGCATGCAGCCATGTAATGAAAAGCCCCCTGGAATAATGCCATTTACTATCCCTGATCGGATAATCCTTTCAGAACAAAAAGAGACCAGCGCTTGTAAGCCCATAGTTAAGGGCACTAAACACAAAACGGATTAAATAAACTAGAGTCAGTGTTGAGGCTAAAAACAGCAGTGTTGTTTTACGCTAAATTATCATTGGTAACTAGAGCCGCATTCCTATTGGTTTAAGTACAAGTAAGTCATGGCAGCTATCACGACCTGCCCCCCCCCTTTACTAAACTGCACAACCTCAACTCCCCATCTCGCGTGTTTGTTGCTCCTATGATGATGAAGCGAAGAAGAGACATGAGAGTATTAAAGTACGAACCAAGATAACCTGTCATTTAGAAGCTATAACAGTTCAGTATGACATGTAACACCACTTCATTCCAAGTAGTGTCTTTATAGTCCACTTTTGGCTCAGGTGTAACAATGCTCTTGGTGTGCTTTATAAGGCCACTTTACAGTCACAACATGATACAGCATCTCTTTATTCACAGAAACCTGAGCTGAGGTTACGCACAAATTTCCCCGCTGGGGGAATCTATGAAGTCCAAATCAAAGGGCAGAAGATTGATAATCTAAATGAAAGATGTGAATGAGAAGGACATGCTGTTAAGGAGCCCCCCTTCCCTCACAGTTCGTAGGTTTCTTTGTATTGAAGGTAGAAATACTTCTGTGCATCCTCGATAGTGCAGATTTATTTTAGGATGAGACGCACATGAAATGCTTACCCTACTGAGATGGATTCCAGATATCAGAGAGTGGAGGATAGACCCCGCCCAACACTCCAATTTAAAAGATGATAAAGCCCATTGTGGCACAGCCATTATAAGTTTTTAAACCGTGTCACAATTTCTTTCCAGGCTATTTTTTTTATTTTTAAATATGGGAGAGATACAAAAGCCAACTTTAAAATTACTTTCTAGGACCAATGCTTTTCCTAGCCAAGATTTAGCCATTAGGTGGTGCTTGAAGTTGCTAGAAAGCTCATGAAGCCAATTAAACCTGTTGAAAGGTTTTATTATACTTAAATTATGTGGGTAAACTTATTGAGCCATTACAAATGCTTCCCAAGGACAACACACACATTTAATTACTTTTATTGGATGGAAGCATTTCCAAGGACAGAACAAAAACATTTATTAGCAGTAGTGGATCTTCTGCAACATTCTAGTGTCCAAAATGATTGAACCCTCCGAACCCCTGACCAACTCTGCCGTAAAAGTTATTTAGTAATAAGCATTTATTTCCCCCCTTTTTAAGAGGAATCACTTTTAAAGAATTCATTGCAGGCGACAGTCAGCGCAGCGACCAGACCAACAAACTCCTGGAAATCCACCACACCATCCTTATTGTCATCCAGTTCACGCATAATCTTCTCCACCACGCAAGCATCATTGGGGCCCTAAAAGGGGAGCAACAAGTTTAGTTTCCCCAAGTGCAAATCTTAATGATGGAGCTGGTCGTCTTTAATTTGCATAGTCTGGAAATAACTTCTACTTTAGACAGAGGCATGTTCTCCTCATTTGCCCAGGTATCAACTTGTTGGCCAACATTATAGAGTTAAAAAAAGCAAATAAAATACTTTTTCCTCAAAATATAGCTGAAACTGAGAAGCCATCAGGTTCTTTTGGAAATTACCATGGTGATTTACCTTTGTTAAAACTTAAAATACATTAAAATTATACATTATTCAGGTCAGCTTCAGAAGGAGAAAAAAAAAATTGATTAAGCAACAGATACTTACTTCCAGAAACTCTCCAAGTTCATTCTTCAACAAATTCTTCAGCTCCAATTTAGTGAGCGTGTACTTGTCACCTTCTTTTCCAGAATACTTGTGGAACACATCAATGAGGTCCACCATTGCTCCTTTCAGATTGGCACTCATTTTGCAATTCTAAAAATCAGAAAGGAAAGGATAAATTAACCACAAAAGAGATTTATTCCAAACATGGAATATACCATTTAGATCAGGGTGACCAGCATCATTTGATATACAGATACAAAGAGGGACTAAAAGTCATTCAGTTTCTATAAAAGCTTAAGAGAAACCTTTCATTACAATTGTTTTAATACACTGGCACACAGATTGGGATGAGTCTAGCAAAACCAAATTAGAAAAGGAATGAGGATGCAAAACTGTTTCACACACTTACCATGTAATCATAGAAAAACTCAGGTTACATGACAGTGTCTCACTTCCCTCCCTGCATTTTTATTTCTCAATGACAGAAAGATTGGCGCTGATGGTGGTATGGACAGTTTTTGGCAGAGCATGGCTTACGGTTATTTGTACAGTGGACTATAGCCAGAATCAGATTACATTTTGTAGATTAAAGGGCAAGTACTTACTTTTGCTCACTTTTCTCAAGACATTTAAATAATAATTAAAAACAAAACAAGGTAAAACACACGCGATGAGGGACCACTTCTTGGTTAGGCGTGTTGATTCTATATAATATGGCACTGCCGGGGAAGCATGTTGTCTCATGAAACAAATAGATTTCAATTGCTGAAGCCTGCTAATAATGGTGCCAAACAGAATACATAGAGGAGAATGCAGCATGGTAACCAGACAGGTCTAGTGTCTAACCTTATACCAGCCTTTCACTATCAGACACCTGAGAAGCCTATACAAGAGAGCAGTTTCATTTCACACACCCCTCCTCACAAACCAGTAGAAGACAAAAGCCAGACCCCCTCCAGGACAGGTCGCACATACAGTAAGATAAGTATAGATTTTGCTCTTTGTTGCATTACATTATATAAATAGCCTTTAACCTCAGATTAATTTTAGAGTATGGTCTTATTTCCATCAAAGCTATTAGATGATAGTTTAGCCTATATGAAGAGCAACATGTATCTAATGATCTATAGTGTATGTGAGAGATTGTGTGAATATCTACAGTTTGCAAAATCACTTCTCCAAATGATGTGGCATCAGATTCCCCTAATTATTCTCAATGATTGCTGTTAATCATTTATTCCCAGCGTGATCAGGGAGCTAATTAAGTCTTTGAATGTCAAATGAGAAGCTGGTGTTAATTAACTGTGACTCCAACTACAGCACAAGTAGTTCTACAAAAAAAAAAAAAATCCTTCACACTACCACTGCACATCAAAACAATGGAGGGAAAAAGAAAAGCAAAAGATCGGTAACTCACCTGGACAGTGACACCTAACCAGTTCTGTTGAAAGTAGATCAAATTGAGCTCTCACCACAGCTCTCACCTCATTACTTATAGCGACTCTCACCTGTGTGCAAATGAACCTTAATCAGATAGGCACCTCCCTCTGAACGGCATCATCAGCGCTTTCACCATTGAACTGGATTGCCATTAAAGGCAACAACCTCAGCTCTTAGAACTTTGCAGGACAAACACCACTCACTCTTTTTCCTAACCTTATATAGTTATGTTGCAACAGGGATTAGTTACAAATTAAGTAGATACTCAGATGGTTAGTGAGGGTACATGTGTTTATATGTAATTCAGGGTATGCTACATTATATATACCAGTTATGTATTAATGTTGCATTAGAAGCACAAATATTACTCGAGTGCAACTTGAAAAATCTATAGAAAAGGTTTTTCAATTTCCATTTTAAAGTGCCTACAAATATCCCTGATTTCAGCCTAAAAGCTGAAAATTTGTTAATCTGAAACAACCAAAATTAAAATCAGCAACATAAAGAATAAAGCAAATTGGCTGAAGTATTCCTCCTCTTTTCCTCTCCGAGGTCTTGTGTAAGCTTATCAAGCATGACTAATGCTTTTTTAAATATCATTTGCAAGTCAGATATTGATTGTATTTGAATGACAGCTCGACTTTTGCAGAAATACAAATTAAATGCGGGTCAGGTTGTTAAGAGTTGATTTGCATCAGTATCTCCTGGTAGCCTGTGTAATGCCAATGATTTTTGCATGCTAGTTAAAAATTTACCAAACCGACTTGCATTTGGTATCTACAGCAACAGTTTTTTAAAAAAATGTCCTCTCTGGTCTGAGACAGCAGGTGAGACCAGACTGGCCTTTTATTTTTGGTGTGGGGAACATACTTGGAGATTAAACACTCTGTGTTTCGTGTGGGGGAATAAAACCATCCATTGTCGATTACTCATAAAAGCTGTTCTAAACAATGTGCCTATGGTGATCACTCTTTTGCCAAATGAAACTAAATATGTTTTTATTCATTCATTTCAACATCTGCACAGTATGAATTATGAATGACCAGCATTATACAAGACAATAAAATAAGGCACTGCATTATTTTAGAGAATGTATAATATGACTCTTCATGAAAAACAAACATGTCCTTCATTTGCGGTTTAATACAAAAACACTTGAAGTCTATAGACTGCATGTTAACATTACTTATACACATATGCAGAGGGAAGTAAAATATATGAGCTTACTCCCCTTACTACCAAAAACTGGTAAATGGGTGCACATTACACCTTAGCTGTGTGGTGTCACATTTCTGCCTAAGTTCAAGGGTGTCATCTACTGGCCATTTTCAAACTTTGTTATTGCCCACATATGTAAGTAAGCAAGGCTGCACACTTACCATTAATAGCAAAACCCATATCAGTTAAGTCATTTTTTAAATAAAAGTTAAATTAATTAAAAAAAACAGTTTTAAAAAAGTTAAATTTAAAATGGCCCAACATGAATCAAGTCAGAGCACAGCAAAAAGAAATAACGCTGCTTTTTTTTTTTTATCAAAGTATTACATTACTGAATCCAAATGATTAAAAATAGTAGTAAGGTAGACATAATGACTCAATATTTAGAACAAAAACCTTCCATCACAAACAATATGTAACAAACGTACATTCACATTTATCAACTGGCAAAACCATTTTTCTTAATCATACAACAGCTTTTATTTTATTTAAAGCATGTGTAAAGACAACTAAATCTAACTTCATTCAGGCACTGGACATGTATCTGCTATCTGTCTGTATAACTCATTCTAATTCCCTTAGTTATATTATACCTGGTGACAATGATAACACTGAAAACTGAACAAATATTTGATAAACATTAACTATTATATGAAACAGTGATTCATAGAGGACCCAGTGAAAGTATGACATGTGTCAAGTGAGCAATCTCTGTGAGTGTGCTTTTGCAATGTATGCCAACAGCAAAGCTAATAGTAACTCATGAGGGATGGCTTTAGGAATAAACAAACAGCAAGCACACAAGTTCAGACTGACATTTGGCAGTAACTTAAATTGGTGACTACCTGTGTGCAGTATTCACTAAAATAGGAATAGTATTCAGCTTGAAACACATTGGATATTGCACCGAAAACTTCAAAATGACTAGTGCTGATACAAACACTGATTGATGGAGCATTACCATTCTCCAGTTTCTAAGCTTTTGCTCTACAACTTGATATCGCTTGTATTGTTACTATATGGTTTCATTTGACTCGGCTTGATCTGAGTTTGAACATTCATGATCTCATACCTCTGAGGGCCAAGAATGTAACAGTGCACAGTCCTTTCACAGTGTGGCACCTGTCACCATGGTTTGCTGGGACCTTGCTTGTTATCCAGAGTGCAACATGGGAGATCTCATGTGAGCCGGCCTTTCAGCGCCTGTCAGCAGGGCACCTGGCCTGAGACACTGAGGGAAAGTGAAGCAGAGGCCATCAGCTCAGCTGTCAGGGATGACATGACAGACTGCCTTGGGCAGACAGATTGTTGGGCAGGGGTTGTTTGTTTTTCTTTGTTATCACAATGAGATGCTGTATTTTGCTCCCTTGTTGGCATAGCCTAAACAAAAAGGTTACTTGAGGGGAGGTCTTTACTGAGAAAATACTGAGAAAGGCATTTGTTTAATAGTTCTTTTTAATTTAATGGCTAAAATGCCACCAGTGGTATCTGATTTAATGGCTCTTCATTTGCTTCGTTTGTGGGTTCTGCTTCTTTTCCCACAGTCATCTTATCTTCTTCTGGCACCCTTTCCTCAATAGGGGGACCAATCACAGATATTCTTCCCGCAGATAGGGTTCTTCTCTTAACACTGTTTGCCCGCTCTTGGGTTGTTGGCTTTCCCAGGACACTCCTCAGCTGTGCCCAGAAAAATGCCTGCTGGTTAACCTGCTGGGGCCACTCCAGGTATGTCTTTGTACTCAGCATCTTCTTGAGCTTGCAATACTTGCTGGGTAAGGAGTTTGGATCAATAGGCTCCTTAACCACTAAGATGACATCACTGAAGGTTTTTCCCATTGCTCTCTGCTGAGCAAAGTACAGCTCATAGTTGCACCACTCACTGTTAACGAAGTGCCGTGAGAGAATAAACATTACCTAGGAATAAAGAAAACAACAGAAAGGAAATTATTATAGGGTCTCTACCTTATGCTTTCCTACCAATTTCCAAACAACAATGATGAGATGCTGAATAACAGGGCAACTATATTCATCAACCATTTAGCATAACTCATATCACCATTACTTACTTTTTTAGACTTTTAAGACTCAGTATTCCAACAGTCAACAAATTGTCAGGCAAGTTTTGAGATGATGTTTTCATCATTTATAATTGCAATGTAGTTTAAAAAATGAGAAGTGCCAAGAAGAAGTGGCATCTACTGAACCAGGTGACTATAAGCTATTTTGTTTTGCCTTTGAATGAACAAAATTATGTGAAAATGACACACACTTCCACTGAGTGACGTTGCTATAGATCAACTGACTAAAACTGTAGCTCCTAAAAAAAATGTCCAAAATAATTAGGTTTTGCTGTGTGTTGTTTCTCATTTTGCAAGACTTTAATTTACTGTAACTTTTAATGTGCTGGTGTATAGTGGGGTGCTTTTACTACATAATACATTTTAGTACCTTACGACTGCTTTCAATATTCTCAATGATGTTATCAATGATCCACTTTCCAGGCATGAAGTCCCTCTCATGAATGCATAGACGATAGGGGTTCGTGTTGTTCTCCAAACAGGGTAAGAGCTGGTGCCTCACCCAGTCAGCATCTGAGTGACTGTAGGATATGAAGGCATGGTAGGTAAAAGTTTCCAGATCACCAGCTGCTTTCTCCTTGTGAGCTCTGTATTTAGCCCTGATGATCTGGTATGTTGCTTTAGTGTACCATGGGAGGTCAAAAATATAGCAAATCAGCATAAGTATTAAGATCACTGCTGTGGTGGTTGCAACACAGATAATGATAACCAGTCTGATGTCACATGCTACATGACCCGGAAAGTATTTGGCTATGACTGTGTTGAGCAAAGCCTCTGGGTGGTAACACTTGTAGTTCTCAGGCCAGTTTGTGAGGTTTACCTTTCCTTTTGAAATTGTGTCCTGGATGAAAGCATGAAGCTCACATGTGCAATGATAAGGATTGTTCCCTGCCTGAAGTTGAGACAACTGAGGCATATCTTCAAAGGATTTTTTGCTAATTAGGCCAAATGAATTCCCATCCAAAGCTAGCGATTGCAGTGATGCACTTTCCCATTTAGATGGGATGAATTTAATTTTATTCCCACTCAGTAGAAGGGTTTTGAGGTTGGTGGTTTTCTCAAAGTAGTTCATGTCCAGCTGGTCCAGATCACAGTAGGACAGATCCAAGTACTGTACTGTGGTTGGTAGACAACTGAGAGCTTCACCTACAAAGTTATTATGGTGAGCAATAAACTTGGTGATATTTTGTTTCCAGACACAATTTTGGCTATCTTTAGCAGATCCTAATTTGTTGTAGCTGAAATCCAAAACCTTTAGCTCCTGGAATTCTTTTGTGAGGGATGATAAGTCTTTTAAGCTGGTCAACTCATTGTTGCTTGTGTTGAATGTATGAAGATTCGGCATGGTGTTCTTGTAATCGCATCGCTGGTTGAATACAAACTCATTTTTTAGTCGATTATTGGAGACATCTAGTAATTCCACACCGTTCATCTCAACCCATGAATCACAGGGTGCAGAGTTGAAATACACATGTTGAATAGACAGTTGCTTAACTTTCTTGAACCAGGTGAAACGCCAATCAAATCGTAGCACATCAGGATTGCTGATGTACCTACAAGAAACAGAGATATTTAGTTTGCGTATTTTTATATGACCTTAGTAGTGAGCTTCACATTCATGTAATTTCACTTTGTAACAAGGTATTGAATTATAACTATAACAAAATACTTGTCAAACCCACTATTTCATAGCATCATCTTCTTGTGCAGCTCTACCGTATTTAGTGCAGCTGCTGTTTTTGGATCATTAATTTAAAGCCCTGGTATGTTCCTTTATAGTCATGCC